GTACAAATAGGTACCGAACTTAACTACTGGAAAAACAATATTAAAAAAATATTGTTGATGAATTACGTATGTATGTGTTTTATTATATTTTTAGTAGGAATTTGGAATTCGTGTTCCATGTTTTCTAATATCACCATTACAAAATACAACTAATCCCAATACCACGTTAAAACTATAATACCGTCTACCATGCACTGGATCTTCAAGCCATTTATAAAGGTCGATAATTTTAATCTGATGGTCCTTCCGAAACGGTTTCCATCTTAATAATAAGAACAATTGATCTGTACTTAATCCATTTACGAATCCAAACGTTGTTACTAGTAGGCGTTCTCTATACGTTCCTTGGCCGAAAAAAGAATTAATAATAAATTCTGGAACTCTATCAAAATTCGTAATATCCAGTCCATTAAGAAGCCTTCTGCGAGCTTGCATACGATTTTTCTTTATTATTTCTCTGCTTTGATTATTCATATTATTCGACGTGTGTTTTTTTTCGAAGAGCCAAATACTTCTTATTTGAAATCGCATTAAACAGTGAAAAAGTGGGACTTATTTCGTTTATGAAAGTGGGACTTATTTCATTTTGAGTGGGAGTTATTTCATTTCAAGTAAATTTTTAAATCATTTCATTTTGGTGGGGCTTATTTCGTTTTCAAAAGTGGGACTTATTTCGTGGGAGTTATTTCATTTTTTTAAGCAATTTTTGGTGGGACTTATTTCGCTTTAAAAAGTGGGACTTATCTCGTGGGAATTATTTCATAGACCCCTTAAATTCAGTCTTTTGTACATTTTTATCTCTTTCATTTCATTGGAGACTCAGTGCTAGCTAAAATTTAAAAATTTAAAATTTTAAAATTAGTTACTTAGTTTAATTTTCAATTTTAATTGTATCGTTATAGTAGAGGACCATCCAATTGTCGTAAGTTCAAAGTTTTGCGATACATACGACAAATGTTTTATGATTAAAAAAAGATTGCATTTGTATGGGAATTTGTCGTATGTGCCACATACGACAAACGTTTTATGATTAAAAAAAAGGTACGTTTGTATGGGAATTTGTCGTATGTGACGCATTTTCAGCACATACAACAAAAGGCATACCCAATCATTAATATTATGTAACATACGACAAAATGCGCACGAAATATCTCAAAAACTAATGGAGATATAAAAAAATGGATTGCAGAAATCGAAAGAGCATGTCCAACTTAGTAAATCTGCATCAAAATCCCAAAATCGTGATTTTGCACATTCGTCATCCGTTTTCTGAGACGACGATATGTACATACATATGTGTGTAACTGTTAGAGAACTGTTGTGTGCTGCTCGTTTAACTTACCTTCAAATCCAAGTCACGCACCAAATGCCGTCCAAATGATGTGCCTCCGGTCTTCTGTATGTGCAGGAACACCATGACGTCATGTCCGTCCATGTCGAACTGAAAATCATCGTTGAGAACATCCTCATAGCTGAGTCCCGCGTTAGCGATAATTACATTCTGTTGTATTGATTTAGTATTAAACGCTGATGTGGACGCCAGCGCAACAGCAGACCCACCGCTGCCTGAGGTGTGATGCTGGTAATGGCGAACACCATACGCGTTGTTCGTCGCTCCCGCCGCTGCTGCAGCTCTTACAGCCCCAGGCGGTGGCATTATCGCCTCATTGTAGGCAAGTATGTCCGGCTGCAACATCATGCCGCGCTTCGACAGCGCACAGACCTGTGGATGGAGAGTAAAGAAAAAAATTCAGAAACCAAAATAAATGAGATCGAAATAAATTCATACATATATATGTAAATTTATAAGTAGTAAATATTTAAATGCATAAATATACATGGATGTAGAACAAATTGGTCAATCCGAATTTAAAATTCATGACAAATATTGTAATAAAAAATTCACGAAATTACAAATTCGTTGAAGCAAATATGAACATGAGCCGTCTGAAATTCAATTAATTCGACCAATCCTGCCAAGGGCCATAATCATTTAAAATCCTGCCATCATATATGCGTTCATGTATGTTTGTACATACATACATATAAGTGTATCTGTATGTGTGGATGATGGGATTTTCAGATTTTCGGACTAAAATACTTAATCAAAATGGGTATTGTTGCATGCGCTTGATTTTGCCAATTTATCCACGCATATTAAATCATAAAGCGTTTTCCTCCACCCACTCACTTGAAATTCGCAAACGGATAACAAGAGATGCCAGCCAGCGAATTGCCAATGCATTAATTAACTTCTTTTATTTTCCGCTTAACGAATCGTAAAAAGGATTACCACATACTTACATATGTACGAATGCATATGAGCGCAACAATACAGTTATGCATAAATGCAACCGTTTTTAATTAACAGGCTTATTATGTGCCTATTTCAGGTGTGTTCGCGAATTGGCGATTGGTGCTCATATGCTCATCATAAGCTGCAATTTTCGAAAACAAAAATTTGGCAACGATTACACTTCAGGAAATATAGAACAGTGATTCCCAAAGTGGTCCCCCAGGGGTCCACGGAAGACTCGATGGGGGTCCACGATTACGTGAAAAAAATTTGGGGGTCCATGAGTTGTAAATGGGGGTTCACGAAAATGCATCTGGTTTCGATGTAAAGAACCAAAATGGTTACTTGATAGCCTTTTTATTTAACTATAATTTTTTTGAGTGGTGTACTGCTGCACTTACCGTCACTTTGTGTTTTCATACGTGGGGAAGCCTTAAAGGCCACCTGCAGACTAAAAAGAGCCGGATGCTGCTATGACAATGAGTGGGGCGCTGCGAAAATTGCTGGCGGCAGAGATTTAAGCACTTGTGTCTTTTCAATGCTACAGGATAGTACGCCACCACTAAGAAAGTTACGTGACTGCAGTGACAACCAAGCTGCACTTAAGGCATTGACCAGCCCTCTATTTAAGTACTTCCAAATTAGTTCGGCAATGCAAGTCTCGAGTAAAATATGATGGTGAACATAACGAGGTTGTTTTACTCTGGGTGCTGGTCACTCTGGTGTACCTGGCTGTTGTGAGACATCTGTTTTAGCACTCCCACCTTCGGCAATCGAAGCCAGCATCAGAAACAGGGGGAATACTTCGCTCAGAAATGACTGAGAGGCATCGAGCGGATGCGGGTGGGCAAAACTCATGTTGCCTTCAATCTCACAAGGTCTATCTAATTTTTAGCTCTCACTGAGCAGACGGCACTGCATACAACTTGCTGTACTGCTGACTGGTCACTTCAGGTGGCACAAACACCTGACTGTGATAGGCGTAAATGACAAGTCCATTTGCCCATCTTGCCTTGAAGAAGAGGAGACGGTGGAACACTTTTTGTGCTTCTTGCTTGCTTGGTTATTTGCCATCGATTTTTTTTAACTCGTTCTTTTTTTGTCTATTGTCAGTTTCTGAATTAAAAGTTTGGCGTAAAAAGCATAGGCGGTTTGATGTTTTAAGTTTTGTTTTAAAAATGTGATAAATATTTTTCGTCTCACTTCAAAACTCGGAACGATAAAAACAAAAATGATGCCATTACCACAAATAAACTATTTTACATATACTCCACGTGCAAAGTCAGGAGTGAGCCGAACATTTGATGAGTTTGTAGTGAAGATTATGTAAATAACGCGTTGTTAAAAAATATAACTCTTCCGAGCGAGAGAGTATTTTGATGTATTTACGAGCTCTGTTTTTTAAAATCTACAAGTGTGTAATCAATCACATTATTTTTATAAACGGAATACAAGAAAATATTTTACTTTTATTTTGGCCACTCTGAGTTTAGTTTTTGAATTCACCCGCGATGCAAATTTTCATTTGTGGCGAGTCTGCCAAAACAACCAGTTGGCAACGCCGTCGATTATCGAAATCTTCTTTGGTAAATGTATCGAAAACTCAACTTCATACATTTCCTGGTACATTTTCTTATACGCATTTTTAACTTCTGTAACTGAGGATTTTGACTTTGAATAAAACCTATTTTCATAGGTCTAGTATTAAATATTGGGTATTGTAATTGTTTCATCCGACGCATTAAAACCCACAGTGGTGACCCCTTGGTTTTTTTCTCAAAAAAGTTGAGCGACTCGAAGAAAAGGTACAGCACGTATGACCGAGAGTTGCACTTGGTTGACGCACGCATCTATGTCATTAAAACCGACCACAAGCCTTTGGTGTATGCTTTCAAGCAACAATTGGAAAAGGACCACCTCGGCAGCAACGGCATCTAGGGTATATCTCGCAATTTTCCACTACCATTGTCCATGTCAAAGGCGAAGAAAACGTGGTCGCAGATGCTCTGTCGAGGCTTTACGCTATCAACATGCCCCCAGCAGTAAGTCTGGCCCACATCGCAGAGGCTCAGGTGACTGATCCTGAACTAACCGAGTAACACATAAGTTTGCGACACCAAGTTTTTTCTTCGGCCCACGCCTTCTCTCATCCGAGCGGCAGAGCAACGTTGCATCAAATACGTCAAACATATGTCTGGACGTCAATGAACAAGGATGTAGTCCAGTGGTGTAGGAGCTGTTTGCCATTTAAATGTGCAAAAATCAGCAGACACAATCACTTTACGCCGGAGAAAATCATCGTTCCTGATAACAGATTCGGCTATGTTCATCTGGACATTGTGATCATGCCAATTTCCAGCGCAATTTCTGGTACAATGATCGATCGGTTCTCTCGTTGGCCGGAAGCCATACCATTACCAAACATAACTGCGGAAACCGTTGCGATGGCGTTTTGGAGACACTGGGTAGCACGTTTTAGGACACCTAAAACTTTAACTACGGACCAAGGGACACAGTTTGAGTCCGCGGTTTTCAAGGAACTAGCAAAACTGAGGGGAAGCAATCACATTCAACTACTGTTTATCACCCACAGTGAAATGGGTTGATCGAACGGTGACACAGAACGTTTAAAGCCGCACTCATGTGCAACAACAAGTTGCCTTGGCCTGAACTGCTACCAACCGTATTACTAGGGTTGCGTACGTGTTTTAAGGAGTCCTTGGGAGCGTCAACAGCAGAAATGTTATATGGAGCGCAACTTCGGGTACCTAACGAATTTTTAGCGACGTCGAATCAGACATGGGATCGACATTTCTTAATTTTCTTCGAAAGCATATACGACAAATACGACCAATTCCAAAGAATCACCATACCAAGGAGAAAATGTTTTTACTAAGAGGTATCGAACACTGTTCGTATGTTTTCATTGTGGCGAGTCTGCCAAAACAACCAGTTGGCAACACCATCGATTATCGAAATCTTCTTTGGTAAAAGTATCGAAAACTCGACTTCATACATTTCCTGGTACATTTTCTTTTATGCATTTTTAACTTCTCTAACTGAGGATTTTGACTTTTGAATAAAACCTATTTTCATCGGGCTAGTATTAAATATTGGGTATTGTAATTGTTTCCACCGACGCATTAAAACCCACACGTTGTTAGATATAATTTTTTTTACGAGCTTTGGGAATATTAAGAAATGTATCAGCTGGGGGCCACCAAAACCAGTAAATTTTTGAAAGGGGTCTACGAGAAAAGAAGTTTGGGAACCTCTGATATAGAACAAAGGAAGAATGCACACCTTCCATCGGCTGGTTATTGAAATGTAAAGTGCCAGATTACCGTATTAAACTGGGACAATTGGCATACAAGACGAATAAGCTCGTAAATCACAATACTCATAGATACGAAATAAAGAAATTCCAACATTTAGAAAGATTGCATCTTCTTTGTTTTCGTACTTTTCTTTGTATCTTTTCTACGCACGAGTTCACAGGAATGTACGCCAATATAAGGGTAAGCAAGTTTGTTGGTCGGAGTGAAAGCTGCACATACATACATACATACTAGGAATGTTGCGAATGTGGAATTTTAGACATCCGCGGATGCGAATGCGGGTGTTTAAAAGCTAACATTCGCGGATGCGGATGCGAATGCGGATGTCATGTGTTTTTAAGAAACAATTTAGGTCGGTAAATTATGTGATTTAGGTAAATAAAAAATTGAAAGGTTAATAATTTGTAATAATCTGTCTTATCCTGAGGTTTGCCCGAAAAAAATGCACCCGAAAATTTGTATTCCGCCTATAGTAAATACATGAAAACCAAAAGTGAAAAGTGAACCGGTTCGGGGAAAATAAACCCATAATGACAAAATGTTTTTTTAGTACTTGAATTTAAAAATTGGAATAATGTACTTAATAAAAACTTTTGAAAGGGTCGTAAATCAAACCAGCGCCACTATATAACTACTCTCTCGAGGCGACAAACTTGAAACTTGGCAAAGTTGTAAATTCTTTTCGATTGACACTGCACCAGTTTAGAGGACTTTCAGTTATATTTGTTTATTTTTATTGCGGTGCAATAATTACTTTTTGAGAATTTCATCGGTTCTGCAAATGTCGGATGTATCCTCCTGTCATTCATCTTCACAATCTAGCATCATGGCACAACCATTATTTAAACGCCGTTTTTTACCAAAGAATTCTTCATTCTCATTCTTTTGNCTGCAAATGTCGGATGTATCCTCCTGTCATTCATCTTCACAATCTAGCATCATGGCACAACCGTTATTTAAACGCCGTTTTTTACCAAAGAATTCTTCATTCTCATTCTTTTGGTTCTTTCGGAATTTGGAAAACCAGTCACGTCATCAGCGTTTTTTGATTTTAGTTTTTGTAATTCATTTTTAATGCTTTCTTCTGTGACTGGTTAGATACACGTCTGGGCACTTGCACAGTATTCCAGGGACCGAAAATAACAGTTATTTTTTTCCGAGTTGAATTTGGCCTAATATTTTTTATTCCGAAATAAACGTCCTATTCGGATAATAAACAAACCGCTTATCCAAATTAAACAAGTTTGAAATCATATGAAAGGGGACTGATATAGCTTTTAAACAGAAATAACGAATGAAGGTTACCACCTCTATTTATATTTTTTTATAACTTAATACTAAAGAAATTCATATAAATACATACCTGACTAAATGTTTGTTCTATGGTAATTAATTAACATTTTTCATTGAAATATTTTTCGATGTGTGGCTTTTCTCGTTAGACATTTCAGTTTAAATGCTATTTACGCCCTCTTTCATTGGATACCAAACTTGTTTAATTTGGATAAGCGGTTTGTTTATTATCCGGAAAGTACTTTTATTTCGGAATAAATAATATTTGTCCAAGTTTAACTCGTCAAAAAAATAAATGTAATTTTCGGACCTTTCAATATTCGCATTAGCAAAAGATCGGCATTGATTTTTACGAATGCGAAAGCGAATGCGAATGTTAAAATTGATGTGGAAGCTCCGCGGTTGCGAATGCGAAAATTCGCAACAACTCTGATACATACATA